TATAGTCCTAAAATAAGAAGTAATAAATTTGCATCATGTTTGATGGGCGTTTGAGATAAGAACTTACATAAATGCTTGTCTTTCATTTGTATGAAGTGTACACATACGTGTTAATGAGTTAGGGTGTAACTTTACCTAATCCCTCCTCAAGTTTAGTCACCATCAACATTTTTGGCTTTCATTTTCCCATTAGTAGACCATATAATGTGGCTAGAAATGGCCTCCGCTAGGTCGAAAACATACACACACATATAGTTTGTAAGTGGCGTTAGACGTGACGTGATGACAAGGTCAAACCTTTTTAAAAGAGAAGTTCAAAAACTACAAAACATATGGTCATTTCCTCACTTTTTGTACCAGGTTTTGATCGAGCTTGGACTATGTTTTACAATAATCAATACTTGATAAATACTCGAGGAAAAATATAGAATTTTTATGAGCTTTTCTGAACTAGTCATAGTCCAAAGGTTCGAATTCTCGAACTCATTTATGCATCTCTCTTGTCCACACTTGAGAGAATCAATAATTGTCCGTTGAATATGTGGAAAATGATGGGAAGAATAAACGAAAACATCGATTTACTGAATGGGGTTTTGTATAATGGTATCAATTTACTTTTATATCGTCTCAGTTTAGATAAAAATAGTTATGGATCGTTTATTAAACGCTTATTTGGTAAGTCTTTACCGGATAAATTTTCTCATCGGATGAACATGACAAAGGTCAAAAATCTTACCGGGTAAGAGAGATGAAAAGGATAGAGAGTCTTACCCAGATAATTAAGCGTTTACCCAGTAAATTATTGCATTAATTGGGTACGTTTTGATGTACTGAAATCTTACGCATCAAAATAAATTATAGTGTTAATTTCTATAGGTAAGCACTTACCGAGTAAACATTTGAGTAAACAATCCCTTTAAATGGTTTTAAAAATATGATTCACTACTTGTTTTAACGTTTAGTGAGGATGTGCACCTACCAGCATAACCATACGTCTTCCCATGGTCCCTCTCACACCAACTATAAATACAACCATCACATAACATACTCTAACATGAATCCAAGAAACAACAACTAACATCACACCTTACAGATTTGAAACTATAAGTTTGATCATCATATAAATATGAAGAAGGCCATTGCTTTGCATGTTGTAGGGTTTCTTGTGGTTATGGGGTTTATCGGGTCTCAAGCAGCTTTGCTTCCAAAAACCTATAACTATGAGGTATATTGCTTTCATTCTCTTCTCTCTTGAAGACAACCTTTTTTCAAGTTGTTATTTTCAAAAACCTCAATTTATTGCTTATTTTCTGCAACCAACCCTTTTTTAGTATTTCATGTATTAAAACAAGTTTAAGTTTTAATATTTTATGTTAGTTGTCAAGTATGTATTTAGAAGTTAATTAATCATCAATTTATTGGATTTTAGTTGTAAGTGATTGATATATATATACATATATATATTAATCGGGTAGGCTAAATATGTGATTAACATATAACATCATTTAAAGGGGCCCTTAATTTGCTTTTCGTCATATTTGATTATTTTTGTGCAAAAAAGTCATGATTTTGACGGAAAAATGCAGGCTTTTACAGTTAAAAATACGGAAAATATATATGTCAATTTTAGGTTTTTGTATTCATATTGGATGTCAATTATTTAGAAACGTGTTATTTTGACATCAACGTAATTAGTTGAAAACATGGAATTGAGGTTTGTGGTGTAAGAAAATACAAAAATATTCTCCGATTGACGAAAAGAAAGTGGGGTTGAAGTTGATGCATGAACCTATGTATGCTAATTTTAACAAAATATGCTTTGACAATATCTTTCTATATATATGTGAAACAAATATATGTTAATCCATATTCCAAATTCTAGTCTTAGATGGAAAAAAAACATATAATAGCACATGATGCATAGTTCTTAAGGTTATCACAATTTTATAGTTTCTAATAAAAGATTCCCTTATATATGTATGTATGCATGCATGTATGTATGGAAGTCCATTAGAAACTAAAATTGGTTAAGAATCTAGGATCCATCCACATCATGTCACTGTGTCCTTTTTCATGATTAATATTCATCATTATTTTAACACATTCATGATGAATATGGAAGTATAATTATTTATCTTGAATCACACACTAACACATTCATATTCCTAATAAATATGTAGCATGTCGCACTGTGGACGGTTCCGAAATTCCTAATCAATTTTAGGAACACGATTATATATATATATATATATATATATATATATATATATATATTGACAAGACTAGCTTGATTTTAATTGAAATCTTGGTTGATACCAATTCATGAGAGTGGTGTTCAACGTTTTTGTGTTATGAGGAACTTAATGCAAATCAACATCATGGTATAATTTGATGATGAAAGATACGAAGAACAAGTCCAAATGAGTACTGTTGTGTTTGGTCTTTTTCAATGGAAAAGATTGGAAAATATAATATATTCATTGCAATTAGCTATCCAAACGCCTTTGACAACATATAGAGTATAGTTAGATTACTAGTGAATCTGGTTTGGTAAAATTTGACAAAATATATTACAATGACAAGCTAAACACGAATGCTAGCTAAGTTGAACTTGAAGTGAACATGGTGTAGATTGACATAATTGCCCTTGGTGCATGCAAGTTAATGTTTTCAGTGGACAAATAAATCATATATGTATTCAAGATTGAGTTTGTAAATGTTAATTTTGAATGTTTGATTAGATATAAGATTCTAAAACAAGAATTACACAGGGAAGGGTAAATCTGACTTATTACAATTTTTTTGGGTTGTTGTAGGTTAAAGAAGCCAACTTCACAAGGCTATGCAAGAGCAAGAGGATCTTGACGATTAATGGTGAATTTCCTGGTCCGACTATTTATGCTCATAGGGGTGAAACCCTCATTGTTAACGTATTCAACCGAGGCAATCTAGGCATCACTATTCACTGGTAACATTATATTTCACTTTTATTGCTCTTTCTTTAATTTGTATGTGCGTTTGTGAGAGAGAGAGAGAGATGGATGAGGGGTGGCAAGGGAAAGAAATCATTTTCGAGTTAAATTTTTGATATTTGTTGGGATGTTTTATTGATAACTCAGAAATAATAATACTCAAATATAAAATTTTCGAGTTATTATTATTGATTATTAGGGTTTTCAAAATTTTATGTGTTTTCAATAAGAAATGTGAGTCTTGGTAACACGCCTTTAATAATGGCTTGTTCTAGTCGCAAGCTATAATGACGATATGATTCGTTGACGATAAATGGACTTTTAGCAACGACTTGAAGTCGTTTCAAAAACCTTGTTTCTAGTTTATCTTTAAGGTCAAAATATAACCTAATTAACCTATTATTTATATAGAAACTACATTCAACTACTACATAAAAACATCCCTAACATATTTTCTAAAATGAAGATTTTGAGGAATTTTGCTACAACAAATTCTCTAAAACCTTTTTCAAAATGGATAAAATATGAGAGAGGAGATGAAATTCTCCAAATTTGGAGATTTAAAAAAAATGATTATTTATAAGAAAGAAATGACTTTTTCTTTTTTCTACCAATAAGATTGCTTGAAAATAAATGTTTTTTTTCTGAAGTATATAATATTTATATACGGCAAATTCAATAAATAAACTCACACACCCTCCTCACCTATGGTAAGGTTTGAACTTCTGACCTCCTACAAGGCCAAGGGCTACGATATTGCTAGGCCAAAAGCCCTTTGGTGAAAATAAATGTTTTAGGAGAGATAAATAATACTTTATTACCTGTATTGAATATTTTAATAATATAATTAATTGATGTAATATTCAAAAATAGAAATCTATTAGAAATAAACATAATTGTTTTAGTGCTTTTGATTTTTTACTTTCCAATTTTAAAGCATCTGTTAGAAATGTTCTAAAACGCTATCCACTACATCATTGACCTATATAAAAAATAAAAATCTATCAACAATATTTATTTGAAGAAGATATTTTTATGATAAAAATACTGTATTTTATAGATATTGCTATATATACTCTTATTTAAGTTAGAATCATGTTAAATTATACGTTAAAAAAATTCAGGATTTAAGATAGGGCAAATTACATGAAAAAATAATGCACTTTAACTTGATTCTTATTTTGGGTAACGGACTTTTAAAACTTTCATTTTGGTACCTAAGATGTAAAGTTTTAAACATTTAAGTACCCGGGTAACTGGTTGAAGTATTAACCGATTATCATGCTGATGTGACGAGTGATGTGGTATCCGACTCGGTATTATTTGCTGACGTGGTCAGTGACGTAGATTTTTTTAAATATAAAATCAGTCTTTTTTTTTTAATCTAATTTTAGTCTTCAAGTGGTTACCCGAGTACTTAAATGTTTAAAACTTTACATCTTAGGTACCAAAATGAAAGTTTTGAAAGTACGTTACTCAAAATAAGAATTAAGTTAAAATACGTTACTTTTTCATGCAATTTGTCAATAACCAATTTAATTTTATTGCAGCTTTCCCATCCCATCGGCATCATCGTGGGTTGTTTTCTACGAACCATAGAACATGAAAAGTCTAACACGTCTCCATAAATATTCATCAAATTAATTTTAAGTAAATTATTTTCGAGAATTTCAAAGGCTTTCAAATAAAAAATACGTCATTATTAATTAATAAACATAAATATGGAAAACATTAATTCTGGAAAAAATATCAAAATAATTAATCTTCCAAACCAACTTCATTTTTTTTTTTAATCGAATTATTATTTTAGCAATAGTTTATGCAAATGATGTATACATTTGTGTAAACTCGATTTTAAGATTAAAAACGAAAAAAAATCTTTACAAAAATTTACATAAGGATCCATATTTTCATAAAGAATTTGCTTAATGATCCCACATTTACATGATAATTTTGTGTAAGAATTCTCATTTACGTAAAAAAATTTCTTTTTATTTTACATCTGAAAATAGACTTTTGGGTACGGTATTTGCTTAAGTTTAGTGGGAATTACGTTTCATCACATGGGTGGTGCATGATTGGTATGAGCTTGGACACCAAAGGTCAAAAGTGGTTGTAGATCTCATGTTCAAATTCAAGGAGAAATAAAAATCCTCTTGTAGCCACGAAGATTCAAATGCGGTGATTCCGGGCTACCCGTAAAATAGGTGGCCACTTTGGGATTAATCGGCTCACACAACGGATTAGATATCCAGGTTAATAAAAGAAAATGAAATTTAATTGAGGAGATTACAATTTCCCTTTGTTCCACCAATGTTTCTAGTTGATTATTGTTTAATTTAATCACATTCTTGACATTTGAATTATATTTAAATAGCAATCAATAAATAAATACGATAAATATATCATTTTAGCAATTTAATTTAAGGAGTTCTTTGAAAATGACGAGATACTAATATAAGTTGTGACTGTAGGCATGGAGTGAAGCAACCAAGATATCCATGGTCTGATGGGCCTGAATTCATCACACAATGTCCGATCAAACCAGGAGGCAACTTTAGCCAAAAAATCATTCTTTCTGACGAAGAAGGCACACTATGGTGGCACGCTCATAGCGATTGGACTCGAGCCACTGTTCATGGTCTAATCGTTATATTCCCCAAGATCGGAAGGCCATACCCTTTCCCTAAACCAGCCGCCGAGTTTCCCATCATCTTTGGTTAATTTTTCGCTATTATCTTCGATATCAATCAGTCTTTTCATCCGACGTCTTTTAATTAGAGGCGTCGTATCTATTACCGTTAAATGAAATATAACAACAAAAGAAATCGGTACAAAATGAATGTGATGTTTATTCTAATCAGGGTCCACATGCAGGTGAATGGTTTAGGCAAGATGTTGAGGCTGTGTTGCTAGATTTCATGAGCACCGGAGGGGATCCTAATTCATCTGATGCTCTAACCATCAATGGCCAACCTGGTGATCTTTACCCTTGCTCTACTGCAGGTTTTCATTCTCATTATGTTCGAAAAAGAATCTCTATYTGATATCATCATTGAAAAATGTTGATTYGTACATTTTTAATAMGTGTTTTCAGAAACAACCAAGTTCATTGTGGAACATGGAAAAACTTATATGCTCAGAATGGTTAATGCCGCGATGAACCTCTTCATGTTCTGGGCRATTGGAGACCACGAAGTAACCGTTGTAGGAACCGATGGTGCATACACCAAGCCACTAAAAAGCGACTATGTGACCATCTCCCCTGGCCAAACCATCGACCTCTTGTTTAAAGCCAACCAACCCATAGGTCGCTATTATATTGCAGCTAAGCCATATAATAGCCAGCCAYKGATTAGTTTCGATAACACTACCACCACAGCCATTATCGAGTACAAAGGCTACAAAAAATCATCTTCACCTCCAATTTTTCCCCATCTTCCAAAGGTTAGTGACACCAGTGCATCGGTTAATTTCACTGGAAGCCTTAGAAGTTTAGCAAGTCGTGCTCATCCTATCGACGTCCCAATGAAGATCACACACAACTTCTTGTTCACCATCTCCATCAACACATTGCCATGCCCTAATAATGCATGTTTAGGACTTGGAGGACGTAGGTTTGCTGCAAGTGTAAACAACATAACATTTGATTCTCCAAGGATTTCGATACTGGATGYTTATTATAGAAGAATCACYGGTGTTTATGGAGACGACTTTCCCAGTTTCCCACCATTGTTTTTCAACTTTACCTCCACTAATCTGAGTACATCGTTGCAGACTCCGTTGAATGCTACAGAGGTGAAAGTACTAGATTTCAACGACACAGTAGAGCTGGTGTTTCAAGGAACAAACTTGGTTGCAGGGATCGATCACCCCATGCATTTGCATGGGCATAGTTTTTACGTTGTTGGATGGGGATTTGGTAACTTTAATAGAAGTAAGGATCCTTTGGGGTATAATCTTGTTGATCCTCCTCTCCAACAGACCATTGCAGTTCCGAAAAATGGGTGGACAGCTATTAGATTCAAGGCCGATAACCCTGGTGAGTCTATATTTCTAAAATAATTAGCCTGCATGAGCACTAAAATTGTTATGGCTAGTCCAAAATCAGTTTTATATGTCGTCTAAGATATCTAAATGTTCTAACACGTTGTTTTATATATCTTCTCACCTCATTATAGCACATTTATATATAGGACACATAATTTTTTGATTCTATAAACTTAGGTTCTATAATCGACACTTTCAAAATGAACATGTCAAATGATTAAAACACATCTAGTCTTGCAATTCGTTTAATGAAATCAAGAACCCGATTTACGTTGTGAGTTCACTGGCCTTTCTTTAATTTACAGGAGTTTGGTTAATGCATTGCCATCTTGAACGTCATATAAGTTGGGGAATGGAGGCAGTATTCATCACAAAGAATGGTAGCGGTMCAGGGGAATCAATCTTGCCACCACCTCCAGATTTCCCACCATGCACTTAAAAAATCATCCTAATACGAATAATTCTTCTTTCTTCGTATCTGTCTCATGTCAAAATCTGCATGCTGATCACTAGAATCTGCAATATCTTTATCTGGACTGTATGCATAGATCAAAGATATATAGCATATAACCTACAAAATGGCTTTTGCTTCAATGGTATAAAACGAGTTTTATGATATGATTTTCAATTACGGGTTTGAATATCTCTAAGAATATGAATAAATACAAGAAGATTTGTTGTTTGATATTGTAAAAGTAGGAGCCACTAGTGCTGCTAGCTTCAAATGGAACAAGTACTGTATCCATAATAATGCACATTCATAGTGTGTTCTCTTTGTTATATATATAACTTATTATTAATTGTTGTAAGATATTTTTGAGAATTTTGTTGGGGTTTGCAAGTTTAATTATGCATTATTAAGAAGCATGTAAGGAATTTAATTATTATTCAATTCTAAGGAATTTCATTATTGTGGTTTGACAAATTTTCTGATTTCTCTTATGGAATATTAGCTCTTAAATGAACAATTAAACATATTATAGAGATCAAAACCAAAGACATATATAACAACAAGAAAAAGATCATTTTGGGAAGGATTTATTTTCATATAGTTATTAGTAGATAAGAAATAGAATCCTAAACAACTACAACTAGCTACTAGCTATGATAAAGAGAAATGACCCAAAACGGAGGATAGCAAACCAAGGTTTCAATAATATCTCCTCAAGTTGGAGCATGTGGATTCGAAGTCTGTTCCACAAGGTAAACATCACCTTTTGAAAATCTTTTAGTGCTGAAGGAATATATCAAGTGGATTGGTTTTAAAAAGATCCAATGCAATTGTTAATAACTGTAAAACTTCTACATGCTCAAAATATGTGGAAGAATTTCAATGCTTTAAATGGCAATTAAAGCAAAGCAATCAAGGTAGTCCAAAAAGCCTAAATGAGATTTCTATATGGAAAATTTGGAGTACCTCAGACAATTTTTTTTTATTAACCTGGATATCCAACCCGCTATGCGAGCCGACTAATCCCAAGGCAATCATCTGCTTTGCAGATAGTCCGGAGTCACCACATTTAAACCTCCGTGGCCATAAGGGATTTTTATTCCTTACTGGATTTGAACTTGGGACCTCATGGTACTTTTGACCCAAACAAATTTGCCGACACAGGAAACAAAAATATTAATAGCCTTGCCTAATGTACTCTATCTACCATCCCTATTGTAATATCACCAAACCCATTAGTTTGTTTATCAATATTTGCTATTAAACTCAAGGAAAGATCAAGGATTTGGTCACTGTGGGATAGAGTGAAATATCAGTAATCCAAGATAGCTAACAAAGATTATCAATTTGCGAGTTGTAGAATGTACCATGAGAAATGGAATGGTTGCTGAACCAACTAAAATTTTGAGCAGTTATTTGCAACCAAGCTAGCTATCATGAAAGCATTTTTTGGACTTGTTTTTTGCTTGTCATATCTGAACTTACTTTTTGCTTACCAAATGCACTTGCTTAATCAACAAGTATGTGGGGGGAAAAGGGTTTCTTCAAAACCTAAATGTCCATAAGAAGTAAATAATTATGTATGTAGCTTTAGAATAAGAAATATCTAACTGACAAAAATTAAGTCAATTCTTATCAGGAGAAACCCATACAGCTCATATTGAAGATGGAGAAAACCATACATAGATATTGAAGATGGAGATCAAACTTGAAATCCAAAAAGAGCCATTGGGACAATTGATCAGCGTTTTGAAGATAAAGTGAGAGACAGAATCCAAAGCGTTATAAGGCGAAGTGTGAGCGGTACTTTGGGAGCTGGAATCGACATCTAAGTATGAATAGTTTCTTGGGAGTTGATGCATTTTTTTAGGAGCGGCAATAGCATCTAGTGTAGGGAGGGGGAACGGAAACTAAATCAATGGGTTGTACTTTGTGCATAAATGCTTGTAATTAAGAGTTCTTTTTGAAAAACATGCTAAAAATGTAGTACTTTGTGCTTCATATGTTGTTTTTAAGACTTTTATGAAATTTGGTTTATAAGGTAGTATAGATGATTTAGAAAAAAAAAATCATAAATTATCAATTTAATTTATTGAGTTCAAACATGATTTTTAAGAAGTTATATGTACAATAATAAGTTGTACATTTGGTAATAGGAAATTAGTAAAATGTTCATAAGTAAAAACACAATAAATAAAAATTACCATTGAAATAAAGCAATATTATTATTTTATCATAGAGAGACATTTATAGCACATATCAATCTTATCTTGTGTATCAAATTGACCCTTAAATAATCAAAGATTAAATTACAAGAAACATTTAAGTGGTATTTATCAGCTTGAGACCGCAGCTTCAACCTGCAGTTTGGCACAATGATTTGTTGTTTTTAGAGAACAACTACTTGATGATGTGTTATGCTTTTTTGTACCCTTACCGCTTTACCCCATCTTGAATTTGCTATACCATGTACAACTCTATCCATATAGCTCAGCAAAATCGTCTTCAAATTTCAATATCCTTCTCATCAAAATTTACTCGAGAAACAAAATCCTCTCCCAGTCACAAGTTGATCAATTTAATCTCAGTTTAGTACTCAAACACATCAAGRACGAACTTATACAACTTTATGAATAAAATTCAAATGAACACTTAGTTATGAAGATGAAATACAACAATTAAAAACATACATAGTTCATATCATGAATTATAAACAATCAATAAAATCAAAACATAAATCAACCAGCAATCAAAAAACATAAACCTGCAAAATTTGAATTTGCAAACAAGAAACATGAACATGCAAAATGTATATGGGGTCAACTTCTAATTAAAACAACCAGCAAGTAGATAGAAAATATAAAAAAAGGATGTCTTTTGCATAAAAACATGCCTACTCTGTTCGAGTGTTTAGTCCACCATGTAAATATTCCATCCCAACCACTCTGAAATATGGGCAACTCAATTCTCTCAAACAACTCATTCTAGATGAATGTAATCTCTGGATCGATTTGATCTCCATCCAAATATATATCCAAACAAGTAAGAATATGTTACAGCAACAAAACTTTTAATTTTCCTTTCTCCCTATCAAACTAGTAAAGTGAGTTGACAAGATACTCTAACTCAAAGGCTATGAATATGACAGACCAACGCTATATTATCCCTATGGTAGGCGATTAGAAATTAACACAACATAAAAAAAGTTACAATACGATAAGCAAACAAATCTCCAGGTTTTTGAACCCTGTCATCTCAGTTTGCACTTTTTCTTCTGTGCTTGTATATGATAAGATAAAAAAAATGACTCGATTCTCCATCTCCAACTTCTACGAATAGATTTGCACATGCTTTTTGGAATATAACTGAAGATCAGAAACCAATTTGTTGGATGAACCCAATTCAAATTTAAAACCATAAACAGATCCAATAGCACCATTAATTGAAATTGAAACAGCCATGGGACCAACCATATATGCCAAGATTCCAAAACCATTAACTTCCCAATATCTAACGGCAAAGCAAGTACCAGGTTTTGGAGATTGTAGCATCCTCTCTGTAAGCCCTCTCCATTGAAATTAAACAGAAGGATATTGTATATGATATAAAGATTTGTTGTATATGATAAATAGGTTTTTGAACCCTGTCATCTCAGTTTATACTTTTTCTTCTCTACTTGAAATTTGAAGACGATTTTGCTAAGCTATATGGATGGAGTTGTACATGATATAGCAAATTCAAGATGGGGTAAAGAGGTAAGGGTGCAAAAAAGCATAACACATCATATACAATATTATATATATATATATATAATATTGTATATGATATAAAGATTTGTCATCACAAGTTACGCTTTGAAAAAGGTCATGGCACGACGCCTATGGTTTAAGGCTTGCTCAATTCGCCACCCCCATGCCACACGTCACACCATTTAAAATATTGATTATAATTCCTAATATGCATGCCCTATGATTTGGACCTGGTATGTTGTTTTGACTTTTCTAAATATTCACTTTTGACTTAGGGGTAGTTTATCGAACGCTTATTCGGGTAAGTGATTACTAGCAAAATTCAACAGTATCACCAGGGCCGGCCCTGAGATTTTGGATGCCCACGGCGGAAAGTCAAAAAAATGCCCCTTATAGTGAAAAAAAAATTCAATCACAACTATATATGAGAATATTTTTAACTTTAAAACAACATGAATAATCAGTATTCATTATTCACAAATGAAATCTATGCATATATATGGTGCTAATCAAAGGATCGAGCAATGCATAGTAAAATAGACCTCAACTGATACGGGTATGCATCAAATTAAGTGTATAACAACAAACCCATAAAGAACGAAAGACATTCTACATAAATACAATAGAAACACAATAAAATCATGTCACTCATCCAATTTTAACATTTGATGGGGATTCTACAAATTCATGATGGTAATTCAGACTCATATGTCAAGTAATTTTCTGATGTAAACACCTCTTCTGTTAAGCTCGGCATCTTATTGCCATTTCGAAAACTATGATAGATGTTTAACACTTTTCATATAATAGATGTTTAACACTTTCCGAAAACAAGTGAAACAGTCAATAGTCAAACAAAGTAAAACAGTCAAACATAGTTTGAGCTTCATTATTAGGTTTTGCAATCAAACAAGAATTAGAAACTTACAAAATAAAATAAAGTAAATAAATAATAAGTAATAACTCTAACACAGTTTGAGTTTATCGGGTCTTAATGAACTTATTTAGTTTTATTTGACTTTATTTGGTTTATTAGGCCTTAATGGGTATATATACTTATAACACATGCACATATCACGGTTAGCAACCACTATATATATATATACACACACAAACAACACATGTACATGCATACAAACGACATCAACACATAAAAATATGTACATATAACACATAAAAATGAGAAATGTTCATGATTTGCTTGTTTTAATTGATTTGGATGTGTTTTTGCATGGATGGGGTGGCTTGTATTTAGAGTGCTGACAAGGGTACGTGACGAGTTAGTTAAAGGTTATTTCCTTATCCATTTAAAATACCGATAAATAAAACTGGTAATCATTTATCTCATATAAGACTCTTATTTATATCTTATAAAATAATGGGTAACAAAACGGATAATAGATAAATAAATATCTTTAACTCACGTATCTTTGTTTTGTATGGTGTTATAATACCTAACATGTAAGCCCTATGATTTGGACTCAGTTCGAAGCTTTGATTTTTCTAATTTTCATTATTTGACGTTTGATTTCGAGAAGCAAAATTATATATGAAACTTCTTATTCTCTGCAACTTTTTTGAAAAACAGTCAAAAAATATATTACTAAAAACTAAAACAAATACAACCATAAAACAACTACAAGATGCGATAGGCTACAAGAGATGGAATGCAATTAAACAACGATTTCTATCAAATAAGATAAAACCCTCTCCAAGGCACATCTATAACTTTGGTCCTCCATATTTTTATTGGTTTGATCCGATCCCGAATTCATTCTTTTATCCATACTCACGTTTCGATACAATTAGCATTTCGGTTTTTTGAAGTTCTTTTAAATTATTTGTATCTACAATTGTTAAACACATATGTATAATGAGTAAATTGACGTAATGTAGCACATTATAAAGTACATTATGACTTAATTAAGACCCAACAAAATACATTAACCTCTTCATGCAGTAAAGGAATAACGAAAGCAATGCGCAGCTTTGTGATTGGACTTGATCAATGTTCTACAATATGTATGGATCATCAAGACCCTCATTACCGATATCAGATAAATGAACGAAGAGGATATTATGAAATATGTATGAATAAAAAGAATTCGTAAACAATCCTAACAATTTAATGTTCCAGTTATATACTTTGAGGCATGATTAATTGCACAAATGATGTGGTTATTCTCATCTTGTTTAGCGATCAGTTTTGCCAGCTTTCTAAAACAAATTTCACACAAATACATGATATGATTTCTATAAGGATATATAATTTTAGCAATTGAAAGAAAAATTACATAAAATAATTACGAAAAAGAATAAATTAAAAAAAACAAATGAAGAAAAACCATTCCAGCCAAAGTTGCAAGACTTGAAAGTAACAGCAGTATAATATTGAGTGAAAATTTAGAAATGTCAACATAGATACGATGCTAATTTAAACAAGCCAAAAGTGAAAATTTAGAAATGTCAAAACATGGTACTGGGTCCAAATCATAGGGCATGCATGGTAGGTATCATAACCAATATTCGTGAGGTGGTATCTAGCTTATGGTGACACCATTTCATTTTGTAACATGTGATTTATGACATCAAATCTCTATATCACACATATATATATATATATATATATATATATATATATATATATATAGGGATGCATGTTTAAACGAGAACGTTAAAAAAATAAGAGAATGAAAACAAGTAAATTAAATCAAGTGCAAAATCACATTTGATTTTACACCAACAGGTTAAGGATGTGCTGGCGACGTGGCTCGCGACCTCAGGTCGGGGCAAAAGTCGCGTGAATCACATGTGATTTTACATGTGGTTTTAATGTCAAATCACATATGATTCGACCGTTTTTTATTCTTTTATTTAATTGTTGTTCTCGTTTGAAATCGACTATATATATATACGTATAATATTACATAAACATATTTTTCTGTTATTACATAAATAGGTTATGCAGATTTTTATATTTCTCAAACATATATATAAGTTAGGTACAAAATTGGGAAAATAGACAAATTAAGAAATGGATTAAAAACCGTTGGAGGGGAATATTGTTGATAGATATGTTGTAATGGATAAAGTAACAACACTATAACATTGAGTCAAAAGTGAAAACAAGAAAAATCAAAGCATCCGACTGGGTCCAAATCATACCCATTCATGCATGTGATTAATAACACCATAAACCAAACGAGTTGACAAAACTTGAAACGCGACTTCAAGGTTGATTTCGATGACCAGCCGCTTTATTTATCTACTATAAATACATGCCACCACATCCATGCAAGAACACATCATCCTAATCCATTAAAACAAGCAAATTCATCGACCATTTCTCACACAATAACAAGATATCGATCATCTGAAGACAGCCATGAGCATGCATGTTCTTGTTCTAGGGCTCCTCGTGATTCTTGGTTTCATACAATCACAAGCAGCTTTGGTTCACTATACTTTCGTGGTAAGCTTATATGACTCTTTTCACATGTTTKCTAGCTAATTTKTKAGGGTTGGCAAGTGACTTGATATTTACATACCTTTTTCTGTTTGCAGGTTCAAGAAAACAACTACACAAGGCTATGCAGCAGCAAGAACATTTTGACAGTTAAYGGACAATATCCTGGTCCGACTATTTCTGCTCGTAGAGGCGACACGGTCATCGTCGATGTTATCAACCAAGMCACCCAGAATATAACTATTCATTGGTGTGTATACATTTATGTRTTAATTTCCTTYTGTGTATATRTATACACTGRAATGTTCTTTTAACTAACATCATAAGTGGTACAGGCATGGAGTGAAACAACCTAGATATCCATGGTCTGATGGGCCAGAGTTTATCACGCAATGCCCAATTCAACCTGGTACCCGTTTTAGCCAAAAGATTATTCTTTCTGACGAGGAAGGCACGTTATGGTGGCATGCACACAGYGATTGGTCTCGAGCCACCGTACATGGTTTACTAGTCGTCTCTCCCAAAATCGGGACTACTTTTCCGTTTCCTAAACCTCATGCAGAGGTTCCCGTCATCTTTGGTACGTGTTTCATCATCTTTATACCCTTTGATAACACGGGTTCCTATTTCTCAATGAAATTCCACGACGAAATCGAGCACAATTTTTATATAATCCTGGTGAAAATTAAATATCATTTTCTAATACAAATAACTTTTAAGACAAAGAGAATTAATGGTTGAGAATAATGCAGGTGACTGGTGGAAAAATGATATACARACAGTGATGGAAGACTTTCTGCGTACAGGAGGAGATCCAGCTCCCTCTGATGCTCTAACAATCAACGGTCAACCGGGCGATCAATACAATTGCTCTCGTCCAGGTTGGTTGATKAMGGCGAATTGTGTGATTAATMAACCAAATACTAATATGTAGATATGCTTCCASATCAACTAACTAATTATGGATTTGTAATGCTTAATGTCTTCAGGAACAACCATTGTAAATGTGGATCAAGGAAAGACTTACTTGCTTCGAATGGTAAATGCTGCCATGAACAATATCATGTTCTTTGCAATCGATAACCATCAAGTCACCGTCGTAGGAACTGATGGGGCATACACCAAGCCACTAAAATCAAATTATGTGACTATATCACCTGGACAAACACTAGACCTCTTGTTAGAAGCAAACCAACCCCACAATCGCTATTATATGGCTGCAAAGTTCTATAACAGCAACCCTCGTAGTCTTTTTGACCGCAGCACCACCACAGCCTTCATCAAGTACAATGGGAACTACACTCCATCTCCATCACCTGCCTTACCTGTTCTTCCTGCTTTTAATGACCGAAATGCATCTGCCGGTTTCACTAGTAGCCTAAGAAGTTTAGCAAGTCATGATCATCCCATTGATGTTCCACTGAAAATCACGAGGAAGTTACTCTATACACTTTCAATTAACACATTGCCTTGTGCGAGTGGCACCACATGTGCGGGACCACAGGGTACGAGGTTTCGTGCAAGCATAAACAACATTACATTCGATACTCCAAGGACTTCGATTCTTGGAGCTTATTACCGTGGAATGAATGGTGTTTACGGGGACGACTTTCCTGATAATCCCCCTTTCATCTTCAATTACACTGCAGATAGTCTGAATACGTCGCTACAAACTCCCATGAATGGAACTGAGGTGAAAATTCTCAAGTACAACGATACGGTGGAGCTTGTTTTCCAAGGAACAAATGTGGTTTCAGGAATAGATCATCCCATGCATTTGCACGGACATAGTTTCTATGTTGTTGGATCTGGATTCGGTAACTTTGATCGACAACGAGATCCTTTAAATTATAATCTTGTCGACCCTCCTCTTCAACAAACCATTGCAGTTCCTCAGAATGGTTGGACAGCCATCAGATTYAGAGCAAATAACCCTGGTACGTCAATTTCCTCCTTTTAGAATGTGTTTTATTTTGCAYATCAGTTTAYATATTCAGTGTATTACTTAAATATGCAGGAGTATGGTTCATGCATTGTCATTTTGAACGTCATGTTAGTTGGGGGATGGAGATGGTATTCATCGTAAGGAATGGAAAGAGTGGCGATGCAAGAATCTTGCCTCCACCACCAGACATGCCCAAGTGTTAGAAGACTTATTCATTTATTTCTGAAGATTATTTATTTCCTTCTATATGTTAATTTTATTTGGCAATGTTCATCTTTTAAACCTGTCGTCTCAAAGATGTGTATACATTTTTAAGTCGTTGATTGATTATGTATGTACAACACTTGAATAAACATGAAATAAAGAAAGGTTTAAATTTGTTCATATATTCACAAATATCGTGTTAAGTGACTTTTATATGTTATTTTTTTCCCTTTTTCGGGTCTAGTGTTGTAAAGAATGAGAATGATTTGACTTCTTAAGCAATGGGTTGCGTATATGATAACGAGTTTGGTAGTTATGTTGACATGGACTATCATATGATAGCGATTTGATAGTTATTTCATATGATGATCTTTTACCTCTGGATGTCATCAAATTTAGGTGAGTGTTTTGGCAAAAATATCCTCTAGCTTTTTTGTGAAGTGTGTTTTTCTTTATTAAATTAAAGTGATTATGGTATCAAAACAAAAATGTAGGTATTTTGTTGATGTTCATCTTCTAAAACAAGAAAAAAAAAATCATCTTCCTCAATAAAAACAAAATAAAACATTACTTATTAAAAAAACCCATGAAAAATATGCAAACATCACGAACAAACATTAACTAACTAAAAACCAAAATTAGATTGAAGTGAAGAAAATATGAGCAAATGAATGATGGAATTGTCAAGTCTTCGATGAAGAGGCAAATGAATGTGTTTATTATTAAAGAAAATTATCTTCTAGATTTACATATATACACAAATCTAAACCCGGAGTTGATTGTAAACCCGATTGGCGAGAAATGGTCAAAACAGTTGTTGCATGTGATATGTATTGCGGCCTGTTGGGTGATTTGGAGGCGTCAAAACGATAAAATCTTCAACGGCAAGATTCAGGCATCGCGGGAAGCAGTTAACGAGTTCAAATTCTACTCTTTTATGTGGGTTAAAAATAGAGTCAAGGTGGGGAAAGATATTAGCTGGGAAATTTGGTGTTATAATCCTCATTTATGTTTTTCGCACGTTATGTAATCTAGCGTCTTGGTAGGTTTTTGTTTAATAATTTTCGTTTCTTACCGTTTAAACACTACTAGAAAACTGGGCATTTCCGGCGGAAATTTCCGCCGGAATTTTTCCGGCGGATTTCCGGCGGAAGTCAAAAAAATTGACTTTTATTGACTTCCGATGGAAATACGCCGGAAATCCGCCGGAAAAATTAAACAGGTTGATTTTCCGGCTGATTTCCGGCGGATTTGTTAATTAATTGTTAATTAATCTTTAAAAAATAATTAATAACTGAAAAAAAATTAAAATTATAACTTCCGGCGGATTTCCGGCGGATTATTTAAAAAAAATTTTAAAAAAAATTTAAAAATTCTTTATTATTAAATCTGCCGGAAAATATTTTAGAATTGTTTTTAAAAAAAAAATCAAAAACCCTTTTAATCTTTTCCGGCGAATTTCCGGCGGAAAAGTAAATATTTTTTTAAAAAAAATTAAAATTTTCGGCGGCATTTTGAATTATTTTTAAATTTTTTATTAAAAAGATTAAACATTTTGCCGGCGGATTTCCGGCGGAAAAATAAATAATTTTTTTAAAAAATTTAACATTTCCGGAGGATTTCCGGAGGATTTCCGGCGGACTTCCGGCGGATTTTTATTATTTTTATTAAAAAAAGAGTAAACATTTTTCGGCGGATTTCCGGCGGAAAAATAAATAATTTTTTAAAAATACTTTAATATTACCGGCGGATTTCAGGCGGAAAATTAAAAAAATTATTTAAAAAAGAAATAAACAAATTTTCCGGC